TTCTCTTTTCTCCTTCTTTTTCATTTCCAAGTGACTCCTCCAGCTCCTTTTCCTTGCTTCCTGTGTAATAGCACAAATGAGTTCTACTTACTCACCTCGGCAAAGCTGCTCTGGCAGGGATTGGATTGAACTGAGCTGCTGTTTGAAAACGGAAACTCGAGGGACTATTGTCATCGCCCAAATTGCACCTTAGATTGTATAACAGCACATGTCATCTGGCCATTTATCAGGAATATTACATTCCCAGGCACTTGCACCTTGCTACGATTTAACTTTGTCTCTTTGGCCAGTGCTGAGATTCCACTGGAGATAATTCAATTGCTCTGAGAGCTGAATGGGTGCCTTACACACTGGCTTCGTATTGCTCTGCTGCAGGGGCACAGGCTTTGAATAGGAGACTGAAAGCACTTGTACACCCTGGATGTTCATTAATCCTGCCTTTTAACGAGGGGAGTGCTGGAGGCTCTGTTGTTCCAGTGCCCACCCCATGCTCCTCCTGGAGCCTTCCAGGTCTTAGCATCCATCCCATCTCCCTGCTCTTCTACCCAAGAGCTTTCATGGTGGGATTGGGAAGTGCTGGGGGTCTCGGCTGAGCGCTCAGCCCCAGGAATTGGGGCAGCCCCAGTGTTTCATGTCACCTCCCTGCCTCTTGTGTCACTGTGCCACTGCCCCCGGCTCCCATTCCCCACCAGTAACATGGGCTGTGTGTCTGCTCGTGGTGGTTTATCTCCCACCAGGTCTTCCTGCAGTTCTTGGCAGCCTTCAGCCTGGCTCAGACCCTGCAGGCAGCACAAGGGCTGGCTGGGGCTCGTTATTAGTTGTCTTTGTGCTGATCCCCTAAGGTGTGAGTAGAGCAGGTTTGAAATCTGGAGCTCAGCATGGGTTTTGCTGTACTTGCTGAGGAGCATATTTATTCCAGAGGTGGCTGTTGGGTTTAGGTCATTTCACATTTGCTATCAGAGAGCTTACATTTAGCAATGACATGTTTTTGTCTGCCAAGCCTGACTTCAGGGTAACTGCTCACTTCTCCATGGCGAGGCTTCTGCCAGGATGCTTTGTACTTTAGGACCCTGACCTAAGGTGCTCTGAAACAAGGCAGATGGGCTGAAATACGGACATTGGTGCTGCAGGACCTCTCAGGCACAGCCATCACCCAGGTATGGCATCTCTCTGGACCACCTATGTGTGACACAGGTATCCTACAGCCAGGTTTGCAACAGGACTCTCACCACAGCTCCTTAGAGAGCTCAACCCAGCTCAGCGTGGCTTGCACAGCCCTGGGCAGTGGTGTCCCCCTTCAGTCCTTGCCAGCCTGGTGCATCGGGCTCCTTGGGGACCCCTTTTCAGGGTGAGGTGGCTGCAGAGCAGCACCAATGCCACGGTGATGCTCACCCAGCACTGCCCCTTCATGGTTTCCTCCTCCCTTTGCCTCTCTCCTGACCCCATCGGGCAGTAGTTTCACTCCATCTCGCTCAAGCCCTGCCATCAGTGGGAACCTGCAGTAGTTATTACCTGGGCTTTGCTCCTTGTACTGAGAACATTTTTTAGTGCAGACAACACGACAGTAACAGTCGTATTGAGTAGGGCAGGTCCAGGGCTGTAAAAGAATTTCCTGTTGTCCTATTTCTGATTGTTAAAGTGGTAAAAAACAAGGCAGAACAGTACAATAAAGAGCCTGTGAATGTGAATGACCATCCTGGGTGCCATTGAGGCTGGGTGAGTCAGACCTACCTGCAAAGGCGGCAGCAGCTCCATGCCTGCCTATGCTTTGGGGCAGCAGCTCCTCTTGCATAGGAGGAGGATGCGAGGTGACAGGCCTGGGTTCAGCCCACTGGAGGAGCTCAAACCCCTCTGAGCTTCCCTTCTTTGGACCTGGGAGAGCAGAGGAGTGCTGTGGTGTGCCTGTGTATCAATGGGGCGTGCTTGTTGTGCAAAAATAGTGTTTGATATAACAGGGTTAAGGTGGGTAGCTGAAGATCCTCATCCTGACATAGAAATGCAGCTGCTTAGGACTCTTTCCTGGTCCCTCCTGCTCTGGGCAGCCTGGACACATGTTGTCCAGCAGGATGCGGGATGTGGTCCCTACAGACCAAAGCTGTGTGGTGGGGACAGGAGCAGAGAGGTACAATGTGCCACGGAGCGACCTGTTGTCTTCAGGTGTGTGGACGGTTGGGGACTCCTGCCCCTCTGCCTGTCAGCCTCGTGTCTTTTGTACTTGTTACGTTCCCTTCCTAAAATAAGCAATTGAAATAGTATAATTTAATGGTTCTCACCTCTTCTCCTGTCTGCATTCCAACTGCCACTGGAGTGACTTCTAGAGAAGCATTTTGGTGTCCAAAGCTTATCACCTCCTGAGCAGACAGGCACCACACCAGTGGTCTTTAATAAAACCTTTCTTAAAGCACAGGTCCCTTTCTAGGGTTTGAGGAATATCCACTTGCAGTGCAGTAATCGTTGGTTTTAATTGTAAAATGAGCCAGCTTGGAATAAATGGGTCAAAGCTGTGCCTTATCTGGAGAGGGGTTTGCCTCAGCTGCATTAGTCCATAGATTTGGGGCTGAGCATGATGCTGGATGAGGAGCAGCAGGTCCCCCCATGCCCTCGCACACTGGACCAACCAGCCCAGTGTGTGCCCGGATCCAGCATTCCATGTTTGTGGAGAGACTGGAGTGATGCACGCTCCTGCCACGTGCCCAAGGTCACACAGCACAATGAATCAGTGTCTCCTTGGGGATGAGAACCCAAGATGTTTCTGTCGCCCCTCCAGCCATCACCAAGCCCTGTGCTCTCACAGCCAGAGCTACAAACCTCTGTGTGCCTGTGCCCCCTTTTGCAGTTAAGCTGTGGATAAACAGGCAGACAGCAACACTTCCTGGGTGTTTTTAATTCTTCTTTCTGCTCCAGCACCTGAAATTAAGAGGATCAAAGTACGAGAGCGTGGGCTTTCAGATCTCAGTGCAGATCTGCATGTAAGGCTCAGAGCATCCTTCCCTCAAACTGCTCTAAGGGTGGCTGCCAAAACGCAGCCACGCTCCGCACTACGGGGTACCTGCTCTGATGCAGAGAAAAAGCTGTTTTACCCATAGATTTTTCAATTAATTGGCTTCTTCTTTAAAAAAATAAATAAATAAATCCTTTTTCTTCCTTTCTTTCTGTTTTTTGAGGTCTGCCTTTGACTCGTTTATTCTCGGGAAGTGTTAAGCTGCTCATATTTTGGTGCATTGTGTTATGTGCTGAGAATTTTTATCAGCCGCCCTAGTGCTCGAATGTGGTGGAAATACCAATGTGTCTGAGGAGTGGAGGTTATGCACACAGATGTACAAAGCATCAAAATGAGCTGTTTGCAGGCAGACAGGAAGGAAACCCAGGCTGAGTCTGCACCTTCCCAGCCTTCCATCCATCAAACCGGCACTGACCGAGCGCGGTCTCGTGTGGGTAATGGCATTAGTGCTTTAATGCTGCTCTGCGTGTATATAAGTCTTGGCAGGAAGCAGCTCCATCTTTGTGAAGGGAAAGGTTGTGCTTTATGAGGACGAGCTGAGATTGTAAGTTCTTATCACAAGCAGAAGTCGTAAGTTGAGACTGAAATTCAGCCTGTTGTGTTTGGTGGGAGCCGGGTCGGGTGCTCAGCAAAGGTTGGGGGTGGGAAAGCTCCTAGATTTGCTCTCGTGAGACCCTACTTGGAGCGCTGTGTACAGTTCTGGTGTCCCCAGCATAAGGACATGGCGCTGTTGGAGCAAGTCCAGAGGAGGCCACGAGGATGCTCAGGGTGAGAACATGGGGGCTGTTCAGCCTGGAGAAGAGAAGCTGTGTAGAGACCTCAGAGCAGTTTCCAGTGTCTCAAGGGGGCTACAAAGATGCTACAGAGGGACTCTTCATCAGGGACTGTAGTGACAGGACAAGGGGTGATGGGTTCAAACTGAAACAGGGGAGACTGAGATGAGCTCTGAGGCAGAAGCTTTTCCCTGTGAGGGTGCTGAGGCGCTGGCACAGGGTGCCCAGAGAAGCTGTGGCTGCCCCATCCCTGGCAGTGTTCAAGGCCAGGTTGGACACAGGGGCTTGGAGCAACCTGCTCTAGTGGAAGGTGTCCCTGCCCGTGGCAGGGGTTGGAGCTGGAGGAGCTTTAAGGTCCCTCCCAACCCAAACCAGTCTGTGGTTCTATGACTCGCAAGAGTTTTGCACTTGGCTGAGCCCGGCTGCTTCCATGAGTCCCAGTTTGTCCACCCATGATGAGGGTGTGGGGCCATGCAGTCCCTTGGGATCAGCTGGCAGCATGGGGATGCACACAAGAGCACCAGGCACGAGGGTTTGCACCCGCTTGGGAACCCTCAGGCCTGGGCATGGGAAGTCCTTGGGAAGGGTTAAACCACCACTCCATATTTCAGCCCTGTGAAGTGGTGTCGGGACAGCCCCATGTCCAGGGACGGGATCTTTATTGCTCTCATATGAATAAAACCCAAGCACTGGGAATGACACATTTAATCTTCAGTGGAGTGGGCAGTCGTGGAGATTTATGGAGCCTCTGTTGTGTGGGAGGTCAGCGGGGATTGAGCAAAAACTTAAACCACACATATACACCAGAAAGAAAAGAACCCCCCCTCCTCCCTCTGTTCCTTCTCCCCTCTGCTAAAAGTCAAGCTTAAATGCCACGTCAAACCAAGCTTAAAATAGGGTGGCTTTTAGTGCTGGTTACTAAACCCAGAACCTGCTGACTCGGAGCGGCTGGACATGTGGGACAGACCCGCGGTGATGGATTCACATCCAACACCATTCCCTAGGCTGCAGGTCTGGTGGTGGCAGATGACACTCAGCCTGTTGGAAATAGAACCCCAGTCTTTAGAGCAGCAAAGATCCCCCTTCCAAGCCTTGCTTTGAGAACTGTATGGGGTAAGGTAGCTGCTGCTCGGGTGGGAGCGATGCCCAGCGCCTGGCTCCGTGGGGCAGGTTGGGGTACAAGCAGCGCTCCCCCCTTCACCACCCCTTGTGTTCTCTCCACGCAGAGCAGAGCGAAGGATTCCATTGCAGGGAGGAGTGCCGCATCCTGGGCCACTCGGACCGCTGCTGGATGC